GGGCGGGGGGGGGGCGGTGGGGCGGGCCCGGGGGGCCGCCGCTCCGTGGCTATCGGGGTGTTGGCCCTGGGGCAGGGGGCACTGCCCAAATCTCCCTCCCAGGCATGGCCAGGCTGCCGGGCGGGGCCGGGCCCAGCCGGGGCACCGGCTGACCCACGGGGGGCTGGGTGTGGGGCATGAAGCCCCGGAGCAGGTCCTGGCCTGGTGTCTCCAGGACTGGGCTGCTCTGGGTGCACCTGCCTGCTGTCCCCATGGGGCCCCAGGACCACCTTGCCCAGAGCAGACCAGGGCACCTGATCATAGAACCACAGAATCATGGAATGGTTTGTGTTGAAAGGGACCTTCAAGATCATCTAGATCCAACCCCCTGCATGGGCAGGGACACCTCCCACCAGACCAGGCTGCTCCAAGCCCCATCCAGCATGCCCTTCAACACTGCCAGGGATGGGGCAGCCACATGTTGGTGCACTGCTGTCCCTCAAACACTGTATTTCCACCCAAAGTGGGATGAGCCAGGGCACAAAGCAGGTCCCTTCCCCGTTGTGGTGGCTAAGAGTCTCATGCCACCATCCTTACCAGCCTTCACAGGCAGGAGTGTGGCAGAAAGGAGGATGCAGAGCTGTAGGCAGGGACATGGTGTATCCACGGGGCAGATTCCTGGGGCTGGGCTTCCTTCCCCATCTCTCACCATGGGGTTTTTTGGGGTGGTCTCCAGTTCCCCAGGGGGCGGCGGTGAGAGCAGGACAGGGCAGAAGGGATCTGGAAGCTGTTGCCTGGTCCTTTTGCTTGGCCAAATGTTAAAGCACATTATTAAGGCAGTGTCTAAATGCCACTTAAACCCTGGCAGGCCTCAGCTGGCATCATGGCTCGCTCTGAGCCAGCAGCACCACATGTTGCCCCTAGCCCCCTGTTTTTCTGGGGAGGCAGCGAGGGGACATTGTCCTGTGTCTTTACTTCAGGAGTGGGGGCCATGGTGTTCCTCAGCAAGGCAGAAAGCAGCAGGCATGGGGTGATGAGGCTGTGGGGCTCTGTCACAGGCCTCTGGGGCTCAGCAGTGATGGTTCTGGGAGGGAAGGTCCCACCAGGGCCCCTGCACAGCCCCTGGCATAGAAGGTCCCCCAGTTGGATCTCAGTGGCTGCTGCAGGGAGGGTCCCTCTGCCCTTCTGGGGGACACAGCTCCCCAATGGGGGAGCATCCCCAGGCCCTGCCCAGTGCTCTGTCCCCACAGATCCCGCAGTGGTGTGCCGAGTACGCCTTGTCCCTGCAGTTTGCCCACGGGCTGGTGGCCTGTACCCAGCCCCACAGCCTGGCTGCCCTCAGCCTCTCCCTGCGCGTGGCCGACGAGATGGACCTCAACCTGGGCCACGAGGTGGGCTACTGTGTCCCCCACGAGGACTGCTGCACCACCGAGACCATCCTCAGGTATGGGGATGGGCAGGAGCCCCCGCAGGACGCCCGTGCCCGGA